CCCCCGTTTCAACTATTCACTGTGACCTCACCCACGGGAAGCACAGACCCGTGATGTGACACTTGCCATTAGGAGAAGCAATGAAGATGACAAGGATTTACTTTATTCAGTTAATTATTACTTTCAAGTCAGTGTTTGTTTAAAGGAAAAGAAAGTCTGCCTCTCTCCAAGCTATAAGGCTTAAAAAACTTGTATTACCATTACATTTTTGAGAAAGTAAACATTCAGGGAAAAAATACACTACTCAAAAAATAGCAGGGCGGCACAAATTTTAGCAGGGCGGCAAAATTTTAGTGGGGCGGCCCAAAATTTTGGCAGGGCAGTCCGCCCTGCTAAAATAGCCCTGTGGAGAACATTGTGTTTGCTCTCAAAGAAACTTTCACATTGAAGCCTACCTTTTCATGTAGTTTTCCAAATGTCTCTTTTAAATCTAACTGATGTTGTTCATCAATGCTTTGTACTTCAGGTAGACTTGCCTGTTTCTTTGAAAAACCATCTGCAAATAACAAAAACGTGAATGAATTCATGGAAATCAAGCATTTTTTCTCTCCATTCGCAACATAAGTGTTGGAAGTTAGTGTAGTCTGTGAGTAGCATGACACCCTCAAGTGTTGTGCAGCAAATAAAGTTGCACCTGCACTCTTGTACTCCGTATTCTGTCTCATTTTCAGCATACTTTTTTATGTTAAACCAATTCTTAGATGTGAACAAACTTTAACTTTGGCAAGTTTGGCTATGTACGTGTAGTTCATGAAATCACTCATTTTCATGTTGTCCACAGTAACTCATGTGACATGAACTACGCCTCATATTTTACATCTCTCAAATTATGCTTTAGCAAGGCAGTCGCTGCAAACTTTTACATGTAACTGTGTCATAAATTCTTACCGGTATTTTTGCTTCATAATTTTGCAACTTACAGAGATATTGTTAGTTGTAGGGTAACTTGGTTTTACAATACATTATCATAGACCTGTTTGATGGTAAATTAGGGAAAAACTAGAACTCTGTGTGATGTTTTTTAAAGGCATAATTTGATTAGTGTCATTGTGGAAACGGGGCCTGGATAGCCCACATGCTGTACATTTACATGTACATGTAGTTATGTGCATGGCATGGTCATGAGTGATAGGTGTATACATATACTGTACTGTTAGGAAAATGTGTGTATGCGCATTAGCAATACTTTAAGTGAGTGGGTTTTATACATTGTAACAAGATAACCTAGGCCTGGAGCTGTTCTCATACCATAGTTCAGTGGCTTATTTTCTCTTAATAACTATTTTGGTTAGGGTTAGTTTGGTAAAATGATGATGTATTACACTAGGCTGGGGACTGCATGGTGTTGAAGGGTGGATTTGTTTATGTGGCTGTACTCGTGAAAGGTGCAGACGGAGCTCTTCTATGTATTAACACAGTCACGAATCGAGGTCGGATTATAAATTGAGGACGTCCGCAGTTCGCAATAAGGTGAAATTTGAGGCCGCAGTCAGCATTTATGAGGGTCAGTGAAAATTCAAGGCATTTGGAAGCCGTCCTCGGTGTATGCATTTAACACGCCGGGTGTTTAAAAACACCCGCTCGAAATGGACAGTTTCAGCGCATCCCTGGATGGAATAGCGCCCTCTCTTGCTACCCTGTCCGATCCGCATTGGTGAGCACAATAAACGTCGCCAAGTGCAAGGGACGCATAGCCCCCAACAAATATAAAAGCCTCCAAACTGTCCAAAAGCATCATAGCGTCACCTTGCCATCATGCCTGTGGACTTCTGTAGCCGTTCTGAGATGTAGGTGTCTTCTAGTGGAAAATATGGTGAGTAAAAACGATTTAATTGAATTTTTTTTTATTTTTTAAATTTTTTAAATTTAATTCGATTTGAAGTGGAATGTTGAGCATGACCAGACCCTATCTTGGTAAGGTTTACTACATCATTAAATACATGGGCCCCAGTGCTGGCTATAGTACCATGCTACTAGTTAGAGCGTGGTTAAAGTGTGGCTGCTATCCACCCCCCCAATTTTGTCGATAGGCTAATGTAGATCTTGCACCGCTGTTAGAGTGAATGTGCCAGTGAAATAGGTATAAGTATGCAGTCTGAAAAGCTCAATCACATAATCCAGTTGAACAGGTTTCTTCAACACATTTTTCCAGCCGCAAGTGAAGACTTTTCTGTCGTCCGGTGTCGTCATGGTGGTTCTAGGCCTAATTGTGTTTACAATTTTAGTTTGGGGTGGAGGTTTTGGGTGGATGTGGCTCTTGGGAGCCCCGATACCTATTCCCCCCCCCACCACCACCAGTCCATACCAAATTAAAAGAAGACAAGCGGTTTAATGAAAATAATGTTCAATTTGTTTTCTTGCCAGCTGGCCTGTTCACCATAAGTGGAGACGTTTGGACAGTATGGCTTATTCGTCCACCGGTGTCAGCAGTAGGCCTACTACATCTGTTGCTCCAAGTGATGACACGTCTGACGTCCAGGTGAACTGTGGTGTGACCGTAATGCAAACCAGTAATGAGGTTGGCTGCAGGAAATGGGACAAGAAACACTTCTGCTTTTACTGCGATGTACCCCAGGCCAAGCTCCCCCGTCATCTCCAGTCATGTCACAAGGAAGAAAGAGAAGTTATCGAGATCGCCGGTGAGCCGCTAGTGTGCGTAAAGAAACTTCTGTTGAAAATTCGCAATATCGGTAATCACAGGCACAATTGTCAGGTTCTTCGTGAAGGTCGTGGTGTGCTCGTTGTCGGGTACAGGCCAAATTGCAAGGTATCTCCCGATGCATATGGACCATGCGTATATTGTTACGGCTATTATATGCGTACCGATTTGTGGCGACACGTGTGCCCTTTGAAGCCAGCACCCACTCCACAGACTGACCGCACCGGTAAGAGGGCTCGCGTGGGTGGACGGGTCGCTCACAAGAGTGATTTGTTGAAACCTCCTCCTGTTGGCGTGTCGTTCCAGTTACACCAGGTTCTTAGTCTAACGAAGAGAGATGATGTGGCTTTGGTAGTCAAGAATTACACGTTGATTGTTGAATTGGCCAAGTGTGAATACATGAAACTAGGGCATGATGCAGATCAGCATGGCTACATCCGTAACAGGGTACGTGAATTGGGTCGACTCATCATACAACTCCGAAAGAACACCCAGCAACCAAATGCATCACTCGAATCATTTGTCCATCCGCACCACCTTTGTGATATTGTGCCGGCTTCAGGGAAGACAAACAGTTGTATAATGTTCCGTCACTAGCGCTGAAGATTGGTTATTCCGTCAAGAAGTGTGCACTCGTCTTGAAATGAAGTGCCCTAGAGTCCGGCCAAAAACACAAAGCGAGCGTGCGGAAGAGTTTCTGCAGTTGTGTGAATTGAACTGGCGAGACCTTGTGTCCACACACACACACAGAACGCTGTACCAAGGAAAACGCAACAAAGTCACCATTCTATCAACAAATGCCGATGTAGTCCACCTGTCGTCGTTCCTTCATGAAGCTGGCAACCGGGAACTTCAACACCTGCGGGGTGCTCGGGGCAGACAAATCAGGCCAGTTTGGCAGAAATTGAATGAGGTCAGTCTGTGCCACCTCATCATGTTCAACTAAAGAAGGCAGGGGGAGGTTTCAAAGATGAAACTTGAAGATTTCCACCAGCACAGCATCGCCAAACTGGAGGGGGAATGCCTGTTGAGTGATTTAGAATGCCAGCTGTGCAAGATGTTCCGTGTTGTCGAAATAGTTGGCAAGAGAGGCAGAACTGTTCCCGTGCTTCTAAGCAATGAGACAGTAGCATGGTTGAATGCCCTTGTCGCCAAGAGACATGAAGCTGGAGTAGCTCAAGACAACACCTTCTCGTTCCCACAGTGTTGTTATGGCGGGAGAGGCCACATATGAGGGAGTGACTGTTTAAGGGCATATGCAGATAAGGCTGGCCTTGACATACATCCAGCATCCGGTCCACTAAACTCCGTAAACATGTAGCAACTGCATCACAAATTCTTGCATTAAAGGAACATCAGCTTGAAACTCTAGCCAACTTCACGATCTGCGGGTACATCGTGAATACTACCAGTTGCCAGATACTGTACAGCGGGTCACCAAACTGTCTAGACTTTTCCTGAGTTTGGAGAGGGGCAACCTGCCTTCCCAGCAGGGCAAATCCTTGGACCATCTGCATGTAACTGGAGGTAAGGGCACCTTGTACTCAAACCATGTTTCCCATGTTCCGTCTACCCAAAGCTTGACTTCNCTTTGTAGGGCATCATACTTGGCCGGAAAGAATACCTCTCTTCCTAATCACCCCTCCCCCTGAAGAACAGACCAGTACAAAGAAAGACGGGGACCAAAAATCACCCCCATAAATGTATCTTGCGTCAAGAACTCCCAAAATAATGTTCCATTTTGGCCGGCAATTTCCCCCCCATCTCAATGCCAAGCAGAGACTGCCAGACACCCGTGCATGTGTGCTTTAACTGTTTGATCTAAATTTGGGGTTTACTCTCAGAAGGCTTCACCGGTGAAGAAGACAGCAGCGACAGTGGGGACAGCAGTGACAGCAGTGAAGACTCCTGCAATGAATCCGTTGAAAACGGTAGGTCGGTCCGTCCATCCTCTCCTGGGATAAAATATTTCTGGAGATACAATAAAGCTTGCATCGAAGTTTTTTGTTGCCTTCAACTCGTGGGAAGATAAGGAACTGCTGGACCTAAAATCTGCAACATGCCCAGGGTGCGACGACATGCAAAGAGCGACTTCAATTTGGCCAAGGCATTCATGTAGGATACTTGAGCGATATGGAACATACATGTATATGATACATGCAAGGTCAGCAACCACCATCTGTGGTTGGCATAATAATTTATCCCAACTGCATCAAAGAATCTGTCATCATATCCAGCTTGGTATTTGTTGTAAATCACCCTCAGGTTAAATCAACAAAAGGTGTGCTCTAAATCCGTTTTTTATTTGTATTATTATAATATCATTATTATTATTCTCCAGTTCACCTTAACCCCTTCATGTCGGGAAACGGCTATAGCCACCGTAAAAATTGAGATCCTCAGCCTGCTTTACCGCTATTATTCTCAGCCTACGCTTGAGCGAACACGGTGAAAGAAGGCAGACCCTGGCTCTTGTATATATGGCGATTGGCTTTTGTGCGTAGCCCAGAAATGAAAAGACTGAATTTGCATCATAATCACCAGCTTCACAATAGTCCCCACTTGGAAAAGAGGCAATGGGAATATGGAAGGGTGAGTAGAGCTGCATGCCACCGAACAATCAGCCTTTTCACCATGTAATTCAAAGCGTGCAGAGCATGCAGGGCCACAAACCGAGAATTTGCGGTTTGGCAGGTGGCCTTCGTGGCCAAGCGAGGCTGGAATTCTTGGAGTCGGCTTTCGGAAAGAAATTCTCGTCGTCAAGGGGTTAAGTTATGTGATAATAACCTGGGGGTGCTCAAATCATTCGCACATTGCCTTGCCCACCATTCACCAAG